TATAATCAAATTATTACATTATAATGCAGGCGCATTATATAGTTGTACAACTTAATAATAAATTTTAAGCAATGTTGTACAAGCATAAATGTAAAAAATACGTTAAGATTATAATATTAATGTCCATATTTGTGATGTTAACTGGCCAAAATATTTTTAAATTCCAAAATGTAACAATAAACTCTAGTTTATATTGAAAAATTTGTTTTATTTATTTTTTGTAAATAATTTTTGACATATTTTTTAAGAGATGTATCTTCTTGTTCTATATTTCAATAAACGCATTTATAAACTCTAAAAATAATTTTGTATCAACACAGCTGAGATAATCTTTATCCCAGTGGACATGGTTTCTGGTGTCCCACTTTTTGTTGGAAACTAACCATGTCCGGTAGCAAAGTAGGCCAATCGTTTGGCCGAAATTTAACAACTTTTATCTCCTTTCAATGCAAAACTTTTGGGAGAAATTGGCGAATTGCGTGGTATGTAGGACATCCCCCGTTCTAAATTACAAAATCGGTATAGTCCACTTTCTTGTTTGAGAGAATCGCCGGTCTGATTAATAAAATAATTCTCATCGGACAGCCGGTGGCGCTGATAATTTGACCCCCGCTGCCGAATGGTCCCAATTTGGCGCGTCTGACGCACATTGAAAGAGGGAAGACGAGAGAGAAAATCGTTGCGCAGGCACTTGAGAGGGAGAAAAACTCTATACACAACAGCAGTCTGGCTGGAGATAAAAGAAGTGGCAGACGCCAAAAGGGTTAAGCGCTGACTTGAGTCTCCAGACTCCGGTCGCCGAAAAATGGCCGGCCATTTATATCTGAAAAGACTGCACGCTCGAAATAAACTCCTTCCAACCGCAATCTCTCTGCGTTATTGTAAGAATAGCAAACTGACTTCGCGCCCGCAGCTCACTTAAAATTTATAAGATGCGTTGTTTACGTTTCTCGCAGCGGCCACTAAATCTAAATAAGCTTGGCGCGTTGAGAACCGACTGTGGGAGAAATGTTTGCACAGCTGCCAATTATGAAGTTGGAGGTTAAAATGATTGACTTCAAACGAAAAAAATTAGCTGCTCAAAATTTTGTAAAGACAATTTAAATACAAATTCAGAAAAAATTTAAATATTAGCACAAAGGAGTTTGTACTTCCTATGTTGAATTAAAATTATTTGATTTTAAAATTCTCATTCCAGATTGAAAAAAGCAGGAAAAAAGGATATGCATTTTTTTTTAGATAAAATAGTTTTTGGAGTTTGTAAATGGAACAAATTGATAAAGCTCTTAAAAATTATTTTTATTATTTGAAAAGATAAATTTTTACTTAGATAATTAATATATTGATCTCTTTATTTCACCTGCCAATAAATAAAATACATTGCAATTTACGGCAATTTAGATCAAATCTTGAAAACTTGGTAAGAAGTGATTTTTCAATTTATTTTTTTGTTATCAAGTTGCTGCCATATAATTTATCCATAATCTGTCCTCGTTTAAAATAACCTCCACAGGTGTGATGAAGAATCTGAAACATTTACCATCCGTTGCGATTAATTAACATGCAAGAGAAGAATTTTCGTATCAACTGTGGCGTACACGTGCCAGTTAATTAATACCTTTCACGTTCGCGACAAGAGTTTGCTTTCGCCTCGTGACACATGAAAAATGGAAAGTCCTCCCGCACCAACTGTCGCCCACCACCAGGATAAAAACCGCTTCCGATGTGCAAACAAACAATTGGCCAGTCGCCCTAATTTTAGCACGCGCGCCCACTGGATTTGGCCTCGGTAGAGAGAACTATAATTCGCATGCTCAACACGTGGAGCGTGAAAGAAATATTGGAAGAAAGTTCACTCTTCGCCTTTTGAATGCAGGAAAAATATTACATGGTACATACACGTCCACTGCTAGATTTTAGTTGAAAAAATTCCATCATCCATAGTAGTCGTGTTTATTTATCTATCACAAAGGCTTTGCTGCCTATACATCAAATTTTTTTTTAAACAAAATAAACTTGTTTTTATTTAAAATACATTTTTTTAATAGTTCAAGTTTTAATTTTTAAACAAAAATTTGTTTTATTACATATTTTTAAATATTTTGAGTACAAAATTGCACATCACACAATTTTGATTTATTATTTTTTTATAATGCGTAATTTTTTTATATGATATGCGAATTTTTTTTTTAATTTGTGCTGTTATTAAGTCAAAAATTAAATTTTTCTTGTTTATTTTAAAATTCGTATTTAGTCATATCCACATTATAGACCTGACTTGGAAGTTGGTTAATAGTTTTAGTGGAATTGACAGCGGACCTCTTGGCGTCAGTTGTTGTTCTTCATTTTCATTGAGGATTTCATCTGCACCCACGCGGCTAACACCGCACGTACCAAGTTGCTAATTACATTTCTCTCCGCAGAGAGCTTGGCCTATTTTGATAACTAATTCTCTGGCACAAACCGCCGCTCAAATTAATTCATAAACTTGATCAAGAAACACTCCCCTTTCAGAGTGAATGAATCTCAAGTGTCTTTACTAGGAAGCTTTTCTCGCCCAAAACAAGTTGAGAACTTTTGTTTGTATTGCAATTATTTCAGCAATGCCACGCTGATCGATCAATATTCTATTTCTGACCAAATTATTATATTGAGCCGCACTTCACCAGCCTTTTGCCGTCACTGTTATACTAAATAACGCTCTTCACAAGTTTGCAAAGCACTCACGGTGCTGACGCAATATTGACAAAAGAAGTACCTTTTTGTGTCCGCAGTGATAAAATTAAAATCGACGGTGCAATCAACTGCACTCTCTCTTGTGTCCGGAAGGCGAGCCAAACGAAAATTACTCTTTGCGAAAGTTCAATTGGTGAGGTACGTAACGACGTTATGTACTCCTCAGGGAGAAATCGTGAACGGTAACCGTATTTGCTGAGAAAGCACATAACAATGCATTCAAGTGCACGAAGAGATTCCTATTTTGAATGAAAGAACTGCCGGACGTGCTTGTTCAAAGAAAATGCAGGTGCACCTCGAATGAGGCCATTGTTTGATTTCTTAAGAAAGTGTAATTTTGAACCTGAAATTGGTTGAAATGGTCATTGGTAGATGGAAATCATTAAATTTTCAATTACATAATAAGTAATAAAATAGCAAAGAATAAATCAATTCAAATTTATATGGGAAATTCATCAACCTGCAACTTTCTTTGAACTGCTGCAATTTTTGCTTATTTGATATATTTAATGAGAGAAGTAAATCTATACAGTACAATTATCAATTATTCATAATTAGACTTTTTTATTAAATTTTATTAATCTCTAATCATGCCTTGTTCACAGCTCGTTCTTCAGTGATTTTGATTTTTTAATTAATTAAAATTACAATTATTCAAGACATTGTGACAACGAGATTAGCTTTAAACAGCGCTAATTTTCATTCAATGCTGCACAGATAGAAACAAAGATTTGCAGTTAATAGGGGTCATTAAACACAGAATATGCATCGCAGCTGCTGCAACACGTCCAAGAATTCCAATTTAAAATTTAATTATATTCTGCGCTAACACTCCAACTTGATTGCTAATTAGTAATTACTGTTCGTCAAGCAAAAAATCCCAAGCATAGCGTTTTGTTCTTGTGTTTCTCCAAAGCATCAACTTTTCACATCTCCTGCTACACAATAATGCCGCAGAAAGTCGTTGTTTGCAGTTTTTCGTCCCTCGAGCGTTGCTTAAAACAGTAATTTCAAGTTGGATTGTTTTTACTGCTCGATTAAATGTACTGAAAATCCAGAATGCGGAAAAGAGACGCATTGTATAAACAAAGAAAGTGGCGTCTTTCGCTGAACAAGCATGCGGAAACGGAGATATGGGGGTTGGGTGGTCGTGGCTCGAGAAAACCCCAAGCCACCTAAAATCGATCAATACCGATCTCATAAACTTTCTTCCGGCTAAGGTATCGCCCTCGAGGGACTGGGCTCTTCATAAAATCCAATTGGACCTCATTAGCAAGTTGAAAGCCGCGTGTGTTTGCCCCGGAGATAGTTATTGCTGTGTTTTGCGAGCGGCGGCGGCGGCACGTGGCCAAATTAGCCCCAGGGTTAACTTGAAATATATTTTCAGAGGCTTTCAACGGGTGATAATGGCTGGAGGAGACGGTTTTATGAGGCAGAATTCGCCTCCATATTTATGGAACTAAACTAATTTAAATTTATTTTTCTAAATTTTAATTACTTTTTAATTTTAATTCAGAAAGTTCTGGTTTGAAATAAAATGCATATTTTCTTACTTTTAAAGCGGCCATCAATTTAAAAAAGTTCAAGGATGCTTTTGAGCGGATATATCGCAACAAAAAAATCCTTGAAATTGGTAAATATCAAATTTTATCAATTTTTTTAAAGAAGTATTGAGCAACGCTTTAAAAAAAATCACTTGATTTTTATAAAAATTTTTTTTTTTTTTTGTTTTTCATGATTTTAGATTATCAATAAATGAAATAAAGGTTCAATTAATTTATTTTCATGCTTTTTGTTTGGTGATATGTTTTGAATTTTACGTCGGACATTTCTGAAAATCGTGTGTGCGGAAATTGACGTAGGCTAGGCGCGTCCTCGCAATTTTTGATATCAACACTGACGATCGCATCATCACAGACTGTAATATCTGTCGCAGCATCTAGTGCCTGCAGCCGAGCTTCCCTGTCAGCGTAGTTTGCTCATTTTACTCTTCTGTAAAGCTTTGACTTTGCCGTAGATGCAAATAAACCCTGCAAGAAAAGCCGAGGCTTCTAATTTCTGCACGGCTTTAAAATGAACAAGACCTGTGTGCGGATTGCTACACTGCTGGTTCTCTTTGTGTTGCTGGCAAGTTCAAAATTTACAAATGAAATCATTTAAGCTCTTCAATATTCAATCTAGAGTAGTTGAAAGTTGTGAATTTTTGCTAAATATAGCTATAAAATATTATTGAATTTTAATTTCCTTGTAATATTTTCCCACCAGTTTTTTCAGGTAGATGAATCTGAGGGCAGGAAGATAATAAAAGCAAAATTAAAAGGTATAGTGGTGCAGAGCATGCTTGTAATTTTGCAATTGAAATTTATATTTCTTTGTTGATCATTAATCATAAATATGGCACCAGTTTGATGGTCACTGATTGGCCCTAAAACGTAAAATCAAAATATTTCTTTGTATTTTTTTATTTACATCATCACAATTAAGTCTACTAAGAAATTGATTAAAATTCCCCATTCTCTTCCAATAACCAAGGAATTTAGTTGCAAAGTGTCTTTATTGATTGTATCAGAAGGCAATTACTGCCCAGGTACATCATACATACATTCAAATAAAAAATTATCAATTTACATAATAGAGAGGAAAATTATCTTAAAAAGAAAAAATGCACATTAATCAAAAGATATTACATCAATTGCATATTTAACAATGAGAATAAAGGGAGTTTTATTTGACCATGACCCATGACAATTGGAAGTCCTGAAGTTAAATTATTGCCTCTTTGAAATAATTTGATATGCTATATAACATTTTTACTACAAAGGCATCCAACCCAACAAATACAATACCCCAAAACTTGTGGTCAAGATAGTGACAAAATCAACGAAATCAACTTCCAAGAGCAATAAGAAAACTACAAAAAAATCTACAACCAAATCTGGCGGCGCAGCCACAACCCAAGCCGCTGCTGCCGGTGATACGACCGTTGCGGCTGCAGCCGGTGTAAGACAATTAATTGGTCTTTATTCTTTTCAAATGAATTCTATTGACAATTAAATACAGGGAGACACAGCAGCTGTAACCGACTACCCTGCGTAGCTACTTTAGGACAGCAAGAAGTGCAACCATGGCATTTCATGTCTTTGCAATTATAGCACAATAAATCACACGTGGCGAAGAAAAAACTGTTTTCACTGCTAGCCCAAAATTGCTCCATAAAAACGAAATCAATTGTAATCTTAATTAAGAGCGAGCCTCTTTAGTGACGATCGTTAAAAGTTTATGTTTCTTTTTGTGCGGGTGAGATAGAGGATGGAGAGTTGTTTTGCTGCGACAGCCGTCTCCGAATTCTCAGCCGTTGCCAGAAAGAGGGACGTAAAAGCTGGAGGCAAAAAATTATAAGAGTAGTGTTACTTGGCACCGGCTTCTGCATACAGATCGCGATTTTTACATCTCTGGCAACCGCTCTTGTTCCTTTTTCCTCACCATCAGGTGCGATATGACGCCGCGCATTGTGATTGATCGCGAGTAATTTTCGTGACGGGCAGCTGATGGCAGGATTATTTTGCAATCACTTTTAGCGAGAAAGACGTACCGATCAGATATGCCGGAGGAACTGCGCAGTTGTTCAAGTTGGACAGCTTAATCGACAGCTCAATCTTGAAACGATCTACTTTTTGCTCGGATTAATTGCTAAATTTCGAAGGCCTGTTCTTACTTTATTAAAGGAAAAAGTTTGAGGTGATTAGATTTATTTTTAAAATCCGAAAAAACCTGTTCCCCAAGAGAAATATGTGCCACATTTAATTATAGAAAAAGTTATCAGTTTAAAAAAAAATGTAACCATTAAAATTCAAGTTTAATTAATTTTTTTTTCTTTTGAAAAGTCAATAAAAAAGCTATATTTTTGAGAATGTTTAATATTATTACTTTAAAATTTTTAATTATAATTTTAGATAGTTTTTATTTTAATTTTTAGTTGCTAAATGATTAAATATATATCTTTATGTTTTTTAAGTATATTAATTTTTACATAAAAAAATACATATATATAATGTACTGTTCACTGTTCTGTTTTTAATTATGTATAGATTCAATTATAAACGTAAGTTTTATCAGCAGGGATTTTACTTATTACAACAGCAATGATTACATATTAATTAATCAAACTTATCAATGAATTGATATTGAATATATAACAATTTATATTAATGGACCAAAACAATAATCAAAATTGAAACAATTTACAAGCGACGCAGCAACACATCGACAGTCACTTAATAAATAGCTACTGTGATAAAATAGCACTCAATATAAAGTGTCAAACACCAATGACTAATTTTGTGGCGTTGTGATTATTTGCCACAGTTAAAGTGATCTATATAACTATTGATTAATGCACTCACATGATTTAGGCCAACACCCAATTCTCCCGCCCCATGTGTGTCAAAACATTCCAAATGTCAGGCTCGTAAATCTCTCAACTCGCCCACATGCTGATCGTGCTGATAGCCTGGCTGAATTTTTGCGAACGCGTGAAGTGCCGTCCATCAAGATGTAAATGGACAACACATTCATCTGGGTAAAAAAAAAACAGCAGTTAACGGGAGCATATTCATTCTGTATAGTGTGGTAGGATGGAAAGGCCTGTTTTTTTTATAATTTATTATTGTCGTTAAAATGTTTTTTTAAACTTTAATATTAAGTTTTATGACTTTTATGATAAGCCAACAAATAATTTAGGTTCTTTTTTATTCTAAACCTAAAGCCAATACCATCAAAGTCCGCAACTTACATTTCAATTATATATATATTTTTTTTTTTAAATTTACAGTAAATGTTAACAGTAAATGAGAATGCAATTTTTTAAAGAATTTTTTCCCAATTTGGTATTTTTTGAGTAAAGTTGTAAATCCAAATGGAATTGCCAATTTCAATTTGTTCTGTGCGAACACGCTGCTTTGTCATCACCAATCAGCACGACCAATTTGTCGGACCCAGTTTGTCATTCAATCGAACGACACATTGTCTAGTTTTTTGTTCTCCAAATAAATTGCCAACATTGTGCGCGAGCAACGTGATTAGTGCAGTGACCCGAGAGTTGGCCACACCACACCTGGGACCAGTGTCAGCGCGAGGACACCGCGTCCGTTTCACAACCATTAGCCAGAGTTGGAGCCATTAGTTGCTTCCCACTGGCGACCCACAGTAAGGTAAGTATGAAGTTGGGTGGGTAATGTCAAAATAACACCCAGCTGACTAACTAACAAACCACATCTCAAGGAAACTATTTCAATTTCTAGACCTGGTGGGAACGTTTATGAATTCATTTTCTCCTGATTTGCATGAAATGTGTAGGGAATATTTAGGGAAAATAACTCCAAGTTTTGATTTGAAAATTTAAGCAAAAAGCAAACTTACTTCAAATATGTTTAGAGTAACTAATTAATTGGAGTAAAAGTCACTCTTCTTTATCTTATTTATTTCATTTTTATTTTCTCTTAACCCCATTATGATGAGATCTTTGAGAATTTTGTCTTTCTGATTGAAAATACGCAAGGAAGTTTTTATACCTGTAGAATTTGAAACTTAATTATAAAATATTAGGACTTATTGACTTATTTTGAAATTTTTGTTAAGGTTTCCAACATTTGTTTTTTTTTCATATTTTTTTTCTTCTTGTTTATGTTTTAAGAAAAATTAACTATTGAATTGACGAAGCATCAGACCTAGTTTTCCTTGAAAATCAGCGCCGTCATGATTTTAATATTTTTGGTGTGACAATTCGAATTGAATTATTCTTGTACATTTCCTCAATGCAAATTTTTGGCCCTTTCCCCTCTCTACGTTGTAAATTTGTGGTTCTTCAAAATCGGCCACTTACTATTAGACTCGTAAAATAAAATGCCTTTGGGCGTGTTCAAGTTAATGGAGGGATGTCATTATACTTGGTGAGAGAGGTTTTGGTGGGAAGAGGAAACAAAGAAACACGTGCGAAGAGCGAGATTTACGCCCAAATCTCTCACACGAACCCTCGCTTTTCGACACGCGAACCTCCCTCGTGTGAATGATGGCCCAAGTTTCCTCCTTTGTTCAGTGGTGCCCATTTAATGGACGTCTGCTGTGTATATCGAGAGGCGTCAAGAGGAAAGTGCGAGCAAGCAAAGGAATGATTGAATTTACTGGGGCCGTATGCAAGAGCGACCCTCACTAAGGGTGCCAAGCATCTGCCTTTAAATTGGGATGCTAATCACCGATTCTCTGCGGAGCTAATGTTAACTGGGTTGGGCTCGAATTACTTTTGTCCGCGCAGTTTCGATTAATTGTCAAAAGTCTGAAGCCAAACGGAAGCTCGATTTTCCATTTGAGGAAATTAAATTCAATTTATTTGTGAAATTCCAAGTTAATTTCCTTTTGGCAGCCATCATGTGGAGTCAGAATACAAACAACATGTTCACCAAAATTTCAGTGTATGGAAAATTCACCCTTTATTTGCGTTCGATCGATCTGCGTGACGCTTTTATGAAGCAAGATTGCCTTCCACCTGTGCTTTACATTTCACGCATATGGAGTTTGACTTCATTTTACGGCTTTTCACGCAAAAGCTCTTTGCTGTGCCTGGAAGCGAGGAGAATTTTAAAGCAAAATTAGGAGAGCGATGGTAATTTCATTGTTGACAAAGGAAGAAAGGCGCGCATGAAATATTTATGAAGTTAACACAAAGAGTCTTACGAGGAACAAGGAAATTTGAACGTCTTTCTACAACTTTTTTGTGCCGCAAAGTGAAACTTAAAGGTAAAGGAAAAAATAAGAGAAAAGCAGGAAGATAGACAGTAGGGACCTTTTCTTCTGCTAAGTTCAACAAAACACTGCTTCGAGGGTATTTCATATTTTTTTTCTCTGTACTTGTAAACATAATTTATTTTTTCGTCTCTATTCCGCCAAACAAAATCAACCCTAAGAGCGTAATTTTAATTTCAAAGTAGAAATTTTTACTTCTGCCGGTGCCCTCGGAGATTTTTTTTTTAAATTTTTTTTTATACGGTGATGAATTTTGCATTTTATAAATTATTTTCCCGTTAAACATATCGTGCTATTTAACTTACAGGTGGCATTATTCGATTTCACTACAGCCCTATGGAAATTTCCATTAACAAGTAGTGCCATGTCCAGAATGGATTAGATTTAACTGAGCCTCTGAAAGAGAAATAACACTTGTTGTGCACATCTCTCTGTGTTTCTCTGATTTGAGTGCGCAAGGTGTGAAAAGCTAGGAAATAAATCAACGTAATGGACGCGCGTCTGGTTTCCTTGTGTGCAGCATTTGCATAAATCAATTGGGTCTCAACACAGATTTGCATGTCTGTGTGCATTCGCTCAAACACTCACAGCGGCTCTAGGTACAGAGAATACGTGTTTTGCGTCGCTATCATGGCGCCCGAGCGAAGGGAGAAATGTCTTAATTATTGCATTATAAAGCAAGCGAGACAGGGCACTTTGCTTTGTTGGCGTAATTAATGTGAATTATAATGCAGCGTGCATACGAGCGAACTGGGTCACGTGACGACAAAGGGATCAAAAGTATGCACGTTGAAATGGAGTACGCAGGAAATTCTGCGAATACAAAAGGGTTCTGCGACTTCCGTGTATTTTGAAAATAGATTAAAAAGAGCAAGAAAAGATGCGGCCTTAAATTTTGTTGGTTCCGCCTGGGAAAGGAAGGGGCTGGTGTTGGTAAATATCTCCAATATAATAGTATTTGCACAAGAAGAGAATAAGGGAGCAAAGGGGATGATCGATTCGGAAGTGAGCTGAAAGGCTAAAGTGATTGTTGTGTAAATAGCCGGTTCAGAAAAGTAAGACGTAAAAGATTTCCTCTCGAAAGCTGAGAAGGTTAAAAAAAATAACAATATATAAAATTTCTCTTATTTTTTATTTCTGTAATAAATAAATTGACGCTTTTTTTCATTAAGGAATATTTTATGTTGTAAAATTTTATGCAGTATATTCACGGATTTAAATAAAAATGTATAAATGAATAACATTCATTTCAATATAAGATTCTGTGTATTTGTAAATTGGAGACACGTGAATATGAAAAAATTTATGAATTCAATTTTCAAATAGCACTTGTAAATTTATGCTGATATTTTAACTACCCTGAAGCAATAAACCGTTTTCTTG